GGCCCCCGCGCCCGGCGAGGCCAAGACCATCGGCTACCTGAGCTGCTGCAGCCTCAACTAGCGCGGCGGAGGCGGAGGCGCCGCTTCCTCTCCCGTCCTCGTGGCAACCGATCACGCCGCAAGTGTCGGTATTCACCAGCAGTGTTCAGAACGCTCGGCCAGGTGGCATTCCGTTGCCGTTTACGTTGCAGAATGTGCTTTCTTTCCTAATCCGTTGCACAATTGTCTTGCCCACATGGAGAGCCGTTACAGCGTTGAGTGCATATCCTTCCCCGCCATGTACTAGTATTTCCTTTGCCCTCACAGGAAACACAACTCGGCACACTTCTATTGTTGCCGCTACTGTCGGACATCTCCGCACACGAGCAGGACAACTCAGTGTTACTAGTGAGGCAAAACTGTGCGCTCGTTGACATCTGTGTGCTGCTGCTACTACTACTACTACTAGTGAAGTGCTTGACGTTATCTAATGTGCAATTTTTTTTTTGCCTTATTAGTAACACGGCGTTTTCCTACGACAGTCATCGCACCTGCCGAGAGATGTCCGTGGTGTCCTTGCACTAGTATGCTTTTTTCTCACTAGCAAGATAATTCAACGTACTTGTCGGACGACTATGTGCAGTAGTCCAATAACTGAGTCTTACGAGTTTCATATTGCCGCTACTAGTGCCCGACATGTGCTACTAGTGCACTGGAATGTTTTACTAGTGAGGATTAAGAGTATATTAGTACATGGACTTTAAGATGGATATCAAGGTATTGACTAAAAGGGTACTAGTATGCTCCTTGGCCTCACTGGTGAGACAATTCAGCGTACTACTAGAATGGCTGGTTGAACTAGTAACATATTTTTTTCTTCTCCACTACTGCTTTCCACTGCTGTATGACATTACTTCACACGAGGAGGACATGTCCATGTTACGAGTGCGCGGACTTTCAGGTCTGTGTACTAGTACACTCTTTGTCATCGTTCGTGAGACAAATCTGCACGCTAGTAGGATATTGAGTCACTAGTGCCATGACTCATACTAAAAGTAACACTGTAAAATTCCGTGAGTTATCGTCTTGCGCTTTGCAGATGGTATCGGTCGCACACAGAATGTCAACTAGTGCACCGTTTTGCCTGTAACTTGTTCTACAAGTATACCAAAATGCTTGTACTAATGACTTATTAGTGAGGACATAGCGTTTTACGAGTACCTGGAACTTAAGCTGCAGCTACTGCCTCCCTCGTAAAATGTTGTTTTACTATTATGCAAACGCGTTCCTACGAGTGAGGACAAATAGCGTAACGAGTGCATGAACCTATAAATGGATAACATGGATGGCACACGAGTCGAACGACTCGGCCGCACTAGTAGACCGAAGTCTTACTAGGAAAGTCATTTTCTGCCCTGTATGACAGTTCTGCACACTAGTCGGACAACTTGGGCCCAGCAGTAGGAGAAAACTGTGTTACTAGTGAGTACGTCTTGCATACTTTTATTACTTTAGACATTATACTTTTTTTTTTTTTTTACATCCAGCCCTTGACTAGTCGTACTACTAGCGCTCGCATATCAACTAGTGCACAGTTTTGTGTCACTAGTACCCAAAGTTAAATGCAAAGATGTCCTACAGTAGTGGGGGAAAAAAATCTTACTAGTAGGACAGTCGTTTTACCAATTGCCCTGAACTTTGTTACTGGTGAGCAAAGAAAATACACGGAAATGGCTTTCCAGACGCCCTTGCGCCACGACAAACTGTGAAATATTTTGCCTCCTACTTGCTGCTACTGTTTGGTAACTGCCAGCGTGAATCAGCATTTTATTGCGTTTTTTTTTTTTTTTTGAACTCATGGTCTGGAACATTTTAATGGACTAATATTTACTTTTACGCTGAGCGAGGCGTTTAGTTTTGGTGACACGGCCTCCTGGTCGTATAGTTTGTGTACCGTTGTGTTTCATGCGCTTCCCACTATGTTTTTCTCCAGAACTGCGGTGTAGTGCTCATGTATTTATCACAAATGTAACGTACTGTACTGCACACATCGGCCGTATAACTGCACACTTCATTTTTGGTTACTGTTCCATTTTTGTTGTTGTTATACAAACTTAGCACTTTGCTTTTTATACTTTATCATTTCATTTTTATTGTTATTATTTGTAACGTTTTAATTTTTATTTGCCATTACTTCTTGTTAACCCATTGAGTTTTGGTTAACGCAGTAGGAAAATACGACGCGGGGGTTTCTGTGTATAAAATATAACCTAAAGTACTCTGTATAATATTAAATAATCCAACTAAATGGTGTGTTTGTGTCTCTCTAGCTAGCTTCATGAGGTATTATTTGTACTTGTTACTTGTCATTTCTGTGGTTCTCAAATTTTTCAAACCAAATATCACCATTGTGACCGTTGAAAAAAGGAAAAATAAATTATTTTGTAAGTTTAACTTAATTGTAATTATATGAATGCTAAATAATGCCGTTTGAAAATATGAATGACTTACTTTGTAACGTTTTAATTTTTATTTGCCATTACTTCTTGTTAACCCATTGAGTTTTGGTTAACGCAGTAGGAAAATACGACGCCGGGGTTTCTGTGTATAAAATATACTCTAAAGTACTCTGTATAATATTAAATAATCCAACTAAATGGTGTGTTTGTGTCTCTCCAGCTAGCTTCATGAGGTATTATTTGTACTTGTCATTTCTGTGGTTCTCAAATTTTCCAAACCAAATATCACCATTACGACCGTTGAAAAAAGGAAAATTTATTCTTTTGTAAGTAAGTTTAACTTAATTGTAATTATATGAATGCTAAATAATGCCGTTTGAAAATATGAATGACTTACGACAATAATTGTATTTACTGCATGAATCCAGGCATTTTTCTAAAATAGGTTAATGAATAATTAACAATAAATGAATGCGCTTCAGAGAAGAATTCCCTTCACTTGAGCTCTGAAGTTGTTAGTAGGTTTAAATAATTATAAAAGGGTTGATAGTTGATGTTCATTTTTAATTTCAAGCGCGACTTTATTTCAACGTGTATTTTGTAAATGGCCCCCAAACCGAAATTTGAACACCACTTCGTGAAGAGCTTCCACTCCCACGATTTTTTCACTCCCACGATTTTTTATTTTTATAATAATCTTTATTGAACAAGTCAGAATACAATTCTCAGTAAACAGAAAACAAAACGAACATGTTATTAATACATACATACACTCCCACGATCCTGTGCGGTCACTGAGTTTAATTTCGTCACGCGCTAGGCCGACGGCGAACTAAAGTGATGAAACGGGAACCAAATGCAGGTTTGGAAAAACGCCGAGAGGAAGCTAACACTGTTTTTTTTATGCTGAATAGGTGTTCCCGTGATATTTGTTGATGCTTATGTAAATTGAGAGGTTCGTAAATCAGATGTTGGCTGCCTCGCTGACAGCCCAGATTCACTTCCTCTTTCCTCCTCCTCCCCAAGAGGCTCATCCGGTCTTCTTTCCACAAAATGTGCTGACGGCGGGCGTCTTGACAGCGCAGCAGAAAGATGACGTTAGGAGCCGGGAAGGCTCTTTTGGACAGAGCTGCACTCACCTTGTGTTTTCAGCTCTTGTGTTTTGTTGGCTCTTTACACGCTTTCAAAACGCAGCTTTTCGGCAGACACGGAGGCTTCTTTCACTCCCCCGAGATCCCCGTCAGCTACGAAACTTTTTACTTGGACCAAAAGGTAAGTTGAACCTTTCTCCGTGTGCGCCGAATTCTTCGTTGTACTTTAAATATCTTCAGTGTGACATCTCTTTGTGTTCTTATCAAAAGTTAACCGCGAAACCTGAAGGGTGACCACTAAAATCTGAAACTATTATACGAGGTTTGGTTTGAAGACTCATAACGCCGGTTAATCACAACATATCAGAGCATATCCCAGGCACCTTTCACAAAATGCCTTTCAGTGGCTGTGAGTATTTCTAAAAATCTTTAATGAAAAAACTCCGCTAGTCTATCACACCGAATATCGATACAGTTATGAAACTTTTTTCTTTGACCAGGTAAATTGAAGTACACCAAAATCTGACTTGCACTTTAAATGTTCAAAGTTAACAAAACTTAATGGCTGGAATTAAAAGCTGCAATTAAACAGGTTTGCTTTGTGTGCTGAGAGGTGGTTCAGTTAATTGAAGACGAGAAAGTGTCACCCAGCTATCTGATTGGCCGATTTTCCCGTGACGTCACCACAATGTTTTTGTAAACACTACAATTTTGTGTCAAGAAAACAATAACACACACACTTCCCGAATGAGTACTCATTTTAGTCTCTGATGAGTTTTACATCCGCTGTAATATGGTACAGCTGTGCCACAAAATTAGAGGGTAAAATTGTAAATTTCCCCACTGTGGGACAAATAAAGGATATCTTACTTAAAGAAAACAGGCAAAAGAAGAAGCTCATAGAATTCTTGTTTGAACAACACATTTGAACCCCCCACCCCAATTGTATTTGGTGTTTCTATCGCTGCGGCACTTTCTCAATGCGCTTGATATTGTTGAGGTTGCACACGTGCTGCCTGCGCACAATAAAGTGTTTCCCCTCACTACTTCCTGTAGTAACATTGAAAGCGCAATGTGTGTGTTGTTGTTGTTCCCCCTGGCTCGCTGCCGAAAAGTTGACCCAGGGGGCAAGGAGCGAGGGGGTGGCTGGGGGGTGTTAAGTGAGCTCCCTTCAGGACTTGACTCCTACCTCGTGTCGAGTTACATAAACAAATGCTTTCGTTTTCATGTCATTACCACTGTGTTCCAATGAGCATTTTATGCTAGCACATTGTTTTTGCATTGAAACATTTAGGGCAGCCGCCCCCCCCCCCCCATTAGCATGCATCTTTGACATCAATAGCTGTCGATGGCTGTGAATGAGTTTCCAAAAACTGAGCTTCATAACTTTGAATGTATTTAAAAAGTATGAGACAGGGTATTTTCATGGTTTTACATGCACAAAAAAAGATGAGCAGGGGATCATTCGATCTACTTTTTGGTGACATTTGATTAGAGGTCTGCCTTGGGATTTTGGCAAAAACTCAGCTTGCTTTTTGCTTACACCTTCCACCTGCTCCAACCACCCACAGCATCCTTCCTCATCAGTGCTCCCATGAAGAACACTTCCTCCATCCTGATGCACATTGTCTTGTCCATGAGGCCATGACACATCTGATGCGATTTCCATTCGCGCGAGCAACAAAAAGGGTCATCGGTCACGCCGTCTTCTTTCCCCACACTGTTTGCGTGACAGCGGGGTCACGAAGTCAGCGCGCTCATCTGAACGGGATATCCTCTGTGAGCGTCGCACGGCAAATGGACAAATGGGAGTGAAGCAGTAATTCTCATAATGGCCACACGGTGGCACTACTTCTCAGGCAACCAGCTGTGCATGCCGAGTGAGTCAGTGTGTTCTCGGGCTTTTGAAATGATAAATTTTAGCAAAAATTCATATTGGTCGGACGGTAGTAAAAAGGGATGCATTCAAACAACGGAGAAAAAAAAACCCCAGATGTCCGCAGCATCTTGTCATTTTGATTCTTTAAAATAAATTAGCCGAATAAAAAAGGCAAATATGAAACGATGTGACCTTTATAAAAGGACATTATTTGATGATTCAAAACAGCCCCCCCCCCCCCCGCCCAAAAAGTGACCTTTTAAAGGACACACATCCACATTTAAAAGCTTTTGTTCACAGAATTACACTGCACATGACCCCACGGGAGTATGCCACCCTGCCAAAGTGCCCCCCCCCCCCAGCCTCCCCAACGCTCTTATAGTACACGCTGCCAAGCCGAGGCTGAATGGATGCTATTAAATCTTTCTGCTGTCATTGCCTGCTAAAGTTACTGCCTCCTTTTGGGACTAAGGATGGTGCTTAGGAGCCAAATAAAAACATTTATTCTGGGAGTGTCTTGGATGTTTGACAACTGTGTGTCATATACTATACAGTGGAGTGAAGTAATTACTGCTGAATTTATAAGTTTGGCTTGTCATGTTGCACGGAGTACCCCCCCCCCCGCCCCACCACCACCATAGACTATCCCGATGACCAAGGTTACATGACTAAATGTTTTTTCCCCCACTCAGATTGATCATTTTGGCTTCGTAGAAGACGGCACTTTCAAACAGCGCTACCTTGTGGCCGACAAGCAATGGCGCTCGCCTGGCGGTCCCATTTTATTCTACACGGGCAACGAAGGTGACATCACCTGGTTCTGCAACAACACTGTAAGTTGGCCTGTCAAGTCATGTCATTCATACCTTTTTAGCCCACCTCAACATGTCTGCTCCATAATAATAATAATAATAATCAATCAATTGACTGCCCATAAACTCGCGAGTTGGGGGCACGTAACAATCCAGGTACAACTGTGAGAATGTAATTTGTAACTGACTGACTGTCCTTATTCTGGCCCAGGGCTTCATGTGGGATGTTGCGGAAGAGCTGGGTGCCATGTTGGTCTTTGCAGAACATCGCTACTATGGAGAGTCGATGCCATTTGGAGCGGACTCTTTCAGCGTGAGTCAGGATGCAAAAAAAGATGGGGAAAAAAACCCCCAAACAAAAAATAGTTCTTGCAGTTTATGTTGGCTTGGTGTTTAGCATAATAGCAT